AACTTCTGATCTTCCTGTTTTCACCTCTCAAGTGTTGGGATTACAGGCCTGTGCTACCACAACCGGCAGCCCTTTGGAATGATCAATTTCAGGATGTACTTTTCTAGTTCTGTGAAGAAAAGTTACTGGGGTTTTGATAGAGATTATGAATTGAAACTGTAGAAGGCTTTGGGTAGTACTGGTATTTGTTTGTATGTAGTGTTGGAGTTTTAACACAGGGCCTCCCACATGACAGGTAAACCACTGAGCCACATCTCCAGCACTAGCATTGACATCTTAGTGTTACCTTTTTTTTTTTTTTTTTTGAGACAGGGTCTCCTTGTAGCCCCAGCTGTCCTGGAACTATGTAGACCAGGCTGGCCTTGAACTCACTGCCTCTGCTGTCCAAGTGCTGGGATTAAAGGCATGTGCCACCACGCCCAGCATGTGTTAACTATTTCAACACATGACCATGGTAGATCTTTTCATGTGTATCTTCCTTTGACATTTTAGTTTTCAGTGATATACAAGTCTTTGGTCTCCTTAGTCACTCTTGCAAATTTGTATTTTAGTTTTAAAATTTTTTTCCCTAGAATGTGGAATCATCAGGTTTTCTACCTATAAGACCATGCTAGCTGCCAATAATTTTACTTACTCCTTTTCAATTTGCTAGCCCAACTTTTTTTTTGGGGGTGGGGGTTATTGAGTTTTTGTTTATTCTTTTACAGGGTCTCCCTAATCACAGCCCGCCTGGAAGTCATTATGTGGACCAGGCTGGCCTCGATCTCACAGTGATCCACTTGCCTCTGCCTCCCAAGGACTGGGATTAAAGATGTGTGCCATCACACCCAGGGTCTCAGGGGGAGGTACTGGGACATGGACTCACTATATAACCCTGGCTAGCCTGGAACTCGTTATGTAGACTAGGTTGGCCTTGAACTCATAGAGACCCACCTGCCTCCCAAATGCTGGGTTTAAAGGTATGTGTCACTATGCCCAGCTCTAGCTAGCCTATTAAAAAAGTCTTTTCCCATGTGTATGAATGTTTTGCCTAGTAAGTGCACCTGTGATGTGCAATACCCACAGAGGACAGAAGAGGGCATCAGATCCCCTGGAGTTATAGAGGGCTGTTAGCTCCCATGTGGGTGCTAGGAACCCAACCCAGGTCCTCTGCAAGACCAGTCAATGTTCTTAACTGCTGAGTTCTCTCTCCAGCCCCAATAAAGGTAGTTTTTAAGGATTATGACTTCATTTCGGGTTTGAAAATCCATGGAGATGGGGCTGGAGAGATGGCTCATTACTCATTAATAGAACAAAGAAGAAAAAATTGGATACTGGGGGAAAGAATTTGGCAGGCTCAGTTTGGGCTAGCTGAATGAACAGCAATAAGAAAATCATCTATGGATGAGTCTCAATAACTGCAACTCTACTGTGCACCAGGCCTAGTACAGTTTTGTTTTTGAGAATGGGTCTTTTACATAGCCCAGGATGGCCTCAAGCTCCCAATTCTCCTGTTTCAGCTGGGATTACAAGTGTGTCACACTAAAGTGCAGCATTTTTTTTTTTCAGCAATATTCTTTAAAAATAAAACCATTTGGTCCCAAGTACTCGGGAGGCAGAGGCAGGTGGATCTCTATGAGTTTGAGGCCAGCCTGGTCTCACAGTGAGTTCCAGGCCAGCTGGGGCTCCTGGGAGACCCTGTCTCAAAAAGACCAAAAATAAATAAATAAAATAAAATAAAACCGTTTGGATTTAGGTCCTAGCATTATGACTGTTCCATTTTACATTCATTGAATCAGAGTATAGTGAGGAGAGTAACTGTCTAAAATTGTATATTTAATTAGTGGATCCAGATTTGAATAAAGTATTCTGATTTCAGAACTTTGCATTTAATCCCATATAACCTCACAGCAATGCTTGAATGTAGATATTTTTACCTCCATCATACAGATTTTGAAGAGGCTCAGAGAAATTAAATATTCCTAACTTGCAAATGTAACAGTTTATAGGGTGGCTAGGGTTAAGCCCTTGTGCTCTTACTGTTTCACACTTGAGTGTAAGCAGAGATCTGTAATTCTCTTCAAATCTTTTATAACCTCTAGCCTGGCACTGTTTAAAGACCAGTACTAATTAATTCTACTAATAAGGTAAGAGCACTGAAGGGCTATTTCCTATTTATCTTCCAAAAGAAGGTACATGGTAACACAGAAGAAAATATAAGCAAAAAAGGAAAATGTGGGTCTCAACAAGACTACATATCACCTAAGAGAATAAAGAAGTCAGAAGACAAAGCTTTACTACAGTCCTAGAGACTGGAGCAGGATAGTGAGTTCTGGAAGACTGGTCAGGAGAAAACTTTTTTTAAAAAATTATTTAATAACCACATGATTAGAAGCATTTCATTACAGCATTAACATATTCAATAACAATTTCCAGAGCAAACTCTTTCAATATTGGCTCTAAATTTTTAGGTTCACATTTGAACTAATACAGTTATACATTATTGTACTCGGTATAAACCTTATAAGACATAAAATTGAATGAGGCTTTAAACTTTAAAAAAGATCTCCATTTCATTTTAGAATATATTGTTCCTTGCAGAAAGACTCATTGTTTTTGCTACTAACACTGAGATATCATATTTTTTTTTTATTCTTATTCTTTTATGAAGTTAGTTAAAAATTAATGAACAAGAAATTAAAGAGACTGCGCTGCAATTAAGTTAGAATATTCTAACTGGAAAACAATTACTGTGAAACTATTTACATTCTCATAGAATTATAAACATTTCTCAAGGAATACTTTACAGCACAACTTTTTTTTTTTTTTTCATACAGAAGAATTCATTCCAAAGCAATTTGGTCAGGAGAAAACTTTTAAATCTAAAAACTGTACAGCTGAGAGAATTTGAGGATATTATTTGAACTTGTCTTTAGGACTGTACTTTAATGAATGAGGACAGTATTATGACATCACATCAATGTCTCAGTATGTTAGCAGTCACATTTATAAAATAAACACTACGCAGAAATACTTGAAATGCTTTTATCAGCGCATTTCACTGATTCTAACACTTTTTCCATATTTGAACTTAACAGTGTTATGGTTAAATTAGGTTTTCTTTTTCAGTAGTAAATAAAATAGCGTGTCTTACAGTCAATGTGAGACATGAACTGCAAGCACAGCTTTAAATGCTTTAGAGCAGTTTCTCATTTGAGCTTCCAACAGCTTTACACAGCTGATGTCACTACCATTTTACAGATAACAAAACTAAGGCTCAAAGATGTGGTATATTTCAGAACTGAATATCTAGCAGATTTCAAAGGTCATGCTTTTGTCATATCTCAACATTTACCTTGGGTGATGCTCAGAAATGAATTCAACGATGATTAAAAACACACCTTTGTCTCAACTACTCAAATCAAGGTGTAGCTTAAATATAACCTTTCTGAAGTCTAACTCCTCCAACAAGAACCAGTTCTCATATGTGCTCTCTTAACACTTTAAAAATAGCTTTATTATACCCTATTAGAGCACACAATTTCCTTAGGGAAGTTTGGAAACAATAGTATCTTAATCCATCTTTTTGACCCTATACTGCTCTTGACACAGTGAAACTCAGTAATGTCTGTAAAAAGAACTGCTGTTAACCCTAAGAGAAAAGAAGCTAAAAAAGTAACGCTACAGAACTATAAATAAAGTGCACTGGAATTTAAAAGAATCATAAGCACAAGACAAGCAGGGCATGGTAGCTTGGAAAGTAGAGGGAGGTGGAGCTCTGTTAGTTTGAGGTCAGTCGGGTCTACATAGTGAGTTCCTGGCCACCCAGAGCGACATTGTGAGACTGTCTCGAAAGAATGAATGAACAAATTAGGGAGAGACACCTCAGCCATCTTCAAGATTTTCGTTCACACATGGTTGAAAAAGTTGAATCAACTGCTTGGTTTTCACAGACCTACACCTTACTGGATTTTAATGAATTCATAGTACTTTAAGAACTTTCACATAAAAATGAGGAGTTTTGGGGGTGTGGTGGCCTATGCCTGTAATCCCAGTATTGAAGGGGGAGGTAGAAAACTAGAGAATTCAAGGTCACCCTGGGCTACATGAGACCTTATTTCAAATAAAATGAAAATCAAAATTCCTGAGGAAGGAGAGAGAAGGTGGTCTTTCAGAAGAATTTAGTGCTCTTACCCATCACTGGCCTTTCATTGTTTATTTCCTTTAAAAAAATTTTTAAATTTATTATTTGTGTTTTACGGGTATGGGTGCATTGCCTGTATGTCTGTAAGTGCACCTGTGTCGTGCAGTGTCCGCGAGGGTCAGAAGACGCCGTTGGATTCCCAGGACTGCAGTTACGGATGGTTGTCAGCCGCCATGTGGGTGCTGGGAACCGAACCCAGGTTCGCTTCAAGAGCAGCCAGTGCTCTTAACCGCCCAGCCAGCTCCCCAGTCCCCTTTCCAATACTGTCTTAGCTCGGCTTGTACAGCGTGATTTCTGGTCCCTTAGGAGGATCTGAACCCAGGGCCCTTGCTCCACACGTTACTTGCTTTTTTCACCACTGTCCTTTCAAGCACCCGCGTCCCTCGTTGCCTAGAAAGTTCTCTGCTTTTCCGGAAAACACTTCTAATCTCTCCATCTCTGCTCCGATGTCCTTCCTGTCAACCGCGCCACCGAATTCTGATTACCCCTCCGAGTCAGCCCTTAACCGCGGCTTCCGCTCTATGTCCCTCCTACGGTGTAACCTGAGCTCACGGCAACAGCAACCCAAATAGGACGAGCACCTTGACCAGGCCTCAAGCTACGAAGGATGAAGGTGAAGTCCAGACCTGCCCAAAACTGGCACGAACGCAAGCGCCCACCCGCACCCCGCGAAAAGGCCACCGTCACCCCCACCAGGCGCCCGCGCCATTCTCAGAAGAGACGAAGTCTCACTCTCGCGAGACTTGATCTGAGCGCGCGCGGGATTTGCTGGCAGGTTCCTTCAGGTTACACAGAACCTTGAGGAAATTTGCGTTTCCGGCTCTGTGCCCCGGAAGCGGAAGCGCGTTCTCCCGGCTGTCAAAGTTGGCCTGCGGCTTGGTGGTCGCGGAGTCTGGTGAAGGGTTTCTTACCGCGTTTCCTCCGGTTGCTGAGCTCTTCCCCCGCGGCGGGTGGGAGCGGGGCGGACGCGCGGCATGAGCACCATGTTTGCGGACACGCTGCTTATCGTTTTCATCTCCGTGTGCACTGCGCTGCTCGCCGAGGGTGAGGGCGGCTGCTTCTCGGGCATCGGGTTGCTCTCCGAGCGGAAGCCCTGGGTCCCATTGGGAGCCCTGCCTCCGGACATGGGTTGTCTCTAGCCGGCAGTCCTGGACGCTGGCACAGGAGCCGGAGGGGCAGTGTGGAATCGATTACTGATTATCTTTGACGTATTTGCGGGGATACTTTTGCCAAGTTTTGGTTGGAAAGTCACTTGTACTGACTTTGTAAAAGGTTAATTACTGATAACCACGTGTAAAAGTGATGAAATCCTTTGATCTCCAACAGTAACCAGTACAGACAGTTTGTGTGGCCATTCTAATCATTCTGGTTAGCATATGCTTTTAATTTTTAGGCATAACCTGGGTCCTGGTTTACAGAACAGACAAATACAAGAGACTGAAGGCAGAAGTGGAAAAACAGAGTAAAAAATGTGAGTATGGTAACAAGCTAGAAGTAGTTTCAACATGTTAAGTTTATTGAGTATTACTTTTTTTGCGAGTTGACATAGGCTACTATGTAGCCTTGAATGGTCTGGAACGCATACTGTAGACCAGACTGGCCTCGAACTCAGAGAGATCTGCCTGCCTCTGCCTCCTGAGTGCTGGGATTAAAGGCAGGTACCACCATGCCTGGCACACAGTAGCTATTTTAGAAGAACTAACATACCAAAACTTTATAAAAATTTTACTTTTTAATTTTATGTATATGAATGGTTTGCCAGGATGTATGTAAGTACACCATGTGCCTGCCCTCACAGAGGACTCGCAGAAGCCAGAAGAGGGCTTTGGATCCCATGGAAGTTGAGTTATAGACAGCTACCATGTGGGTGCTGGGAGCTGAACCCAGTTCTTCTGGAAGAACACTAAATGTTCTTAGCCACTGAGCCCTCTTAACTGCAGTCTCATACCAAAACATTGTAGGACTATAAAAATAATCCAATATACTGGATGTGGTGACACATACCTGAAACCTTATCACTCAGGAGTCCAAGACAGGAGGATTGTGAATACAGGAGGATTGTGAGTTTCAAGTCAGCCTGGGCTACATAGGGAGACCCTGACTGCCATCCAAAAAATACAATTTCATAAAAATAGGAACAGAAAACTTTTATACAATGTGGTCAATAAAACTAAAGGGGAATACGAACATGGTTGGGGTATGCCTTTAATCCCGGCAAAAGCAGGGATATCTCTGAGATGGAGGTCAACCAGATCTACATAGTGAGTTCCAGGCCAGCTGGGGTGATAGGGAAACCCTGTCTCAAAAAACAAAAATGGGCTGGAGACATGGCTCAGCAGTTAAGAGCACTGACTACTCTTGCAGAACACCCAGGTTTGATTACCAGCACCCACAGAGTGGCTACAGACAGTACTTAACTCCAGTTCCAGGGCAATCCAAAGCCTTCTTCTGACCTCTGCAGCATTTCACGACATGGGTGCACTCACATTGTGCAGGCAGTGTACTCATACACATAAAATAAAATAAAAAACAAAGTTTGAAGCGGAGAGATGGCCATGGCAGGTACATATGTATGGTTCTCATTCTAAAAAAGAGGTTCTGTTCTGTTCTGAGGGACTGTGGAAGCCTTCATGATGTAGGTGAACTTACAGTCCTTCATGGCATAGTTGGACTATAGATAGAAAATATAATAGGGGAAGAAATTCCAGGTAAAGGAAAGAGCACATTGGCCAAAATACGGAAATTTTAATGTGTAAGTTGTTGTTGCAGAAAAACAGGTTATTATGACTAGTGTCAATATAAGTGGTACCCTTAGGAAAAAGCCAGGTTTCAGTTGGGTAAGCAGGCTGAAAAATGTTTGAGAAAAAGATTAAAATAGGTAAAATTTGTCTTTGAAGTAAAGCTAAAATATAGTGGGATACAACTAAGGGTATAAATAAGGGCTTATGTAGCCCAGGCTGGCTTCAAACCAGTGGTCCTCCAGTCTCAGCTTCCCAATTGCTAAGATTGTGAATAGGCTCTGTAGGTACAATCGACTTTCAGTACTCGTTTTGTTTTTTGTTTTTTTTAAACATTTCATTTGTTTTATTATGTGTATATGTGTATTACCTACATGTAAGTAAATGCACCTGTGTTGTGCAATGCCCATGGAGGACAGAAGAGGCCGTCAGATCCCCTGGAATTGGAGTTACGGACAGTTGTTAGCTGCCATGTGGGTGCTGGGATTTGAACCCGGGTCTTCTGCAAGAACCGTCAGTGTTCTTAACCTCTGAGCCATCTCTCCAGCCCCCGTGAATTTTTTTTCTTAGTTTGAGTCAGTCTTATGTAGCTCAGGGTGACCTTGATCTCTGTGCAGCCCAGGATGACCTTGAACTTTGGATCCTCTTGTTTCTGCTTCCCAAGTGCTGAGATTACAGATATGCATAACCATGCCCACTTTATGGGGTGCTGGGGATTGATCCCAGGGCTTTGTGCATAATAGGCAAGCCTTCTTCTAGCTGAGCTTTATTCCTCAGGTCTCCTTCCATTTTCCCCCCTAAATTATCTTGTTTGAGAGACTGGGGGTATAACTCAGTGGTAGAATGCTTACCTAGCATGCTCAAAACCATGGGTTCATCCCTCAGCACAAAAAAAATTACCTCATTTGATCCACATAGTAACCATTTGTGGTCAGTTATATAAATGTTACCTCTACCTTATGGAAAATGAGATTGAGACTCAGAAAGTTAATGATAGACTTACATCACAGAGAAAACAAAGAACCAGAGACTAAACCCAGACTTTTGTTTTCAAGCTCAGACTTAGAATTATGTTCACCATTCTTTATTCAGTGTTAATAATGGCATCTCATCATGTTGAAAGCCAAATTCATTACGTTTACCTTCACAAATGTG